GATACAATTCAATTTGTAACAGGGATCAGAGCAGTAAAGACCACATTAAATTACCCCCTAATACCTATCACTGCTACTAATTCCTTTCAATGTTATGGCTCACACTACTGTCAAATGAATTCCTGTGGTAAAAATTACAGGGCAGATTAATCTCTAAAAGGCTCTGAACTTGGTGATGGCATTATAGTTATATGGAAAAAATGAGTTGCATTTTATCTCTAAATTTTGAAAATATGTTTATTTTTTCTTTTTAGTATTCACTTCTTCCGTGAACCCTGGTTGGCTGTAAACTACTTCCTTTCATATTAAATCAGCCTCCATCACATGTTGAAGTCCTAGCCACCCCTGTTCCATAGCATTAAGAATGTGACTATATTTGGAAGATGTTACTAAGATAAAGTCATTTTATCAGTACTGACCCAGTATGGCTGGTGTGCTCATAAGAAATTAGGGCCAATCATGGAAGACAAAGAAAAAGCAGCCAGCTGCCTATACACAAGCTATAGCTTGAGAACCAGCCCAAGAACTGGAGGGAGACACAGCTCTGGTGTTTCAGCTGCCTACTCAACCAGGCGGACATTCCTAAGTTTTTTTCTTATCTAAAATAAAAAATCATTTTGTGGAAACTAAAATATATACTTATTCATTCAGAATGAATAAATGTCATTAGCTGGGCATCTGGGAATTTTGACTGGTCTTCTTAGCTTTGACCAATATCCTAAAAGTCAGACCCAATTCTTTGATTATGATGTCAATCATCTGCTCCGTAGTCAGACTCAGATACATATTCTATAATTATCCTCAGAATAAATGGGAAAATAGGAAAAAGCTGTTTAACATTTAAGAGAAATAAAAGAGTAAAAACTATAAGGCATATAGAGGACATTTTTCTTTAAATTAGAAAACATCACACAAAGCACAAAGTAATTTTCTTAAGTTCACAGAGTTAAGCAAAGACTTGCAACTCAACTATCTTTCTTAAACTCTACAAAAGTGCAATTTATCAAAACCTACATTATGAGTTTGCACAGCATGATATGTGTAACATTAACTGTAAGCCAAAAATTTTAAGTAGTAATTTTCTATACTACAATTTAATAATTAAACTAGAATAAAATGCATGTGAAAAATATAATTCATATTATATAGAATTCCAACCATACGTATAGAAATTTCTACTAAAATATAATCCAACTATTATTAAAGACAAAACAATGCACAAAACATGCAGTTTGGAGGTAACAGTTGTTCACAATCTTACAAAATAGAATGTTGTGCACTACTCATATTTCTTCTACATTTCTGAGTTTCAGAAGTAAAAATGCAAATGGCCCTTGCTGTAAGAGTGCAAGAGCTGAGTATCACTTCAAGGGAGAATCTTTCTTAAGGGTCAATGGCTTTAGCATGCCCTCTTTCCCCTTAGCTTCAGTAGCTGCCATTTTAAAGACTTAACTATTCCTCCTCAGAGATTCTGGGGTAAAGATGTCAATAAGAAACAGCATTTCCAACAACCCCACAAAGGATTACAGAGAAGTAAAAAACTGTTGAAGCAAGTCATTGATAATTTGAGAGAATTTGTTACCATTGCACAGTGCAGACTATATCCTGTTTGATATAGAATATAAATACCAAATATAAAGCAGTTGTACTTAGCAAAGAAGATATTCCTGTAAATCAAAGGTGGGAGGAGAGGCGGAGGATGGTAGATTTGTGTGTCCCCCCCAAGCCAGGGAAGCTACCTTACAGAAATCTTCAGAGCACCATGGAGGTTTTGAATGCGAAAGCACTCAGATGGAAGCACTGTTGCCATGGGCAGCCCCATAGCTGAGGCAAACACTTTATTCCATCTCCCCATGTCAACAGCCTAGTGCTGAGGAAAACCAAGCTCTGGGCCAATGCCTCTCACCTGGCAGCCAAATGAAGCAGTAACAGAACACAACTTGTTCATGAAGACCAGGGCCCACAGCTAAGCTGAGTTCTGTCACTCCACCTGTTCACAGCCATCACAGGGAATCTTCCAAAGGATGATTCGTTTAGTCTTGCCAGAAACATTTAGTCTTGCCTCAATTTCTTGTTTCCTACTGCCCTCCTTAACACCTCAGGGGACCTGAACTCTGAACAGGCTTACCTCCTTCTGCACATTCTGTGGATAACCATCCCACAGGTCTAGAATCGGAAAATCCATCAGTTCACTCCATTTGTCAATTTTACAACATTGGCACTCAACTGTGCATGCTGGCAAGCTGTGTCTTACTAAGCAGTGCCCAGTCAAGGAGGGGGTGGTGGTGGAAGACAACAGACACCTGGCTTTACTGAGAGAAGCCACTTTTGTGCTTCTCACAAAGGGACCTTTCATCTACCAATGCATGTTAGACTGGCTTGCCACTCCCCATCATGCCTACAGTTTTTGGAGACTCTGTATTAGTTAGTTTTCATTGCTGTGACCAAAGTACACAATAAATGCCAGTTAAGAAAGGAAACATTCATTGGACTCACAGCTACATAAGGTTCACTTAATAGTAGGTTGGCCCCACGCGACTGGGTAGAACCTGATGGCTGAAGGAGCATGTAACCGAGAAAATTCTTCACTTGATGTGAAACAAGAAGCAGAGTGAGCAACAGGAAGTGGCCAGGGATAATATATTAAAGCCCCAATACTCAATGGCCTACTCTCCACAGGTACCACCACCTTAAAAAGGGCTCACAGCTGTGGGGCAGCCTTCTAGGACTGGATGGGACAAGAGTAACAGGACTCCATATCAGAACTGTAACACTATTCTTAGAAATACTGCTATGCAAACAACCTCCATATTTAGTTATCATCAGCTCCTGATCCTGGGTCCCTCAATGTTCAGTTACTGCATTAACAGCATTTCATAGGTGACCCATGCGGAATATGCTTGTGAGCCTGGACAATGTACGTCCATTCTCCTCTGCCCAAATAAAACATGGCATTTCACGGACAAATGGCATCAGAGATATTCTTCTGCTAGAGTTCATGCTCCTAGCAAGCTCTAATCAAGAGTAGTTTACAAGAATGTCTATATCACTACACTGACCAAATATCATCATATTAACTTGCTATAATTCGGGGTATCTTGATTTTGATGCTTCTGATATTTTGGACCATGGTTGTTCCTGGTTGTGGGTGCCATCCTGTGTACTGTAGCAGGGATTGTAAAATTTCTGGCATTTACCCACTAGAAGCCAGCAGCGCTTTTCCTCTTACCTGTAACATTGAAAGTTGTCTTTAGACATTGCCAAATGCCTTCTCGGGGCCAAAATTATCTGAGTGTGACAACCTTCCCGCTAGCTCTCCAGCTCCACTGGGGCATGGCACTGGCGAGAGGCTGAGTATCGAGACCAAATGTCCATCTGACATATAGTCTATGGTACTGAAACTGACATAAAGCCTTCCCTGGCAAACAGATTAAAGAACTCTGTGCAGAAGCCAAGACATAGAAAACAACTTTTGCTTTTGTTTTCCCCATCAACTTTGTTAATGAATTCTCTTTCACTTCTGCCCTTCTAGAAGCAAGCATGGCTGAACTGATATAACTTACATGTTTTGCCTTCCCAATCAAGATGTAACCAGCAACAGTTACTGGCCTCTTGCTGGGCCTACTCTGTACTCTCATCTACTCCCAGCTAATGTAGATTTGCCCTCAGATTGATTGCACTGTGAGACGCTATATTTTCAAAAGCTACTTTAGCTTCCCTTGCTCTAGTGTGGAAGGCTATTGCTGGCAGAGCCCAGAGTCAGACTGACCTGTCTATGTAATCTGACAGGTGAACTTAACACGCATCAAAAGAGGAACACAGGTTAATCCTTGGACAAAAGAAGGGGCTCCAAAGTCAGTTCTTCCTCCTCCTCTTCCTGCTACTACTACAACTACTACTACTGCTCCTACAAACAGCAACAACGACAACACACACAAATCTAGACTATTCTCACAAACTGTGGAGGTTATATATTAATTCATATGTCTTGCCAAAAGCAAGTACCATATGAATCAAAGAAGAAGGATAATAATGAAAACTTAAAAGTTCTTTAAAAACATACAGAGGAGAGTACTTAATAAAATTGGAAAGAAGACCTCTTCAGTCAACACATAAAGCTCACAAATTTTACCATGAGAGATATTTTAAAGCAACTATACACACACACAATCACATAGTATAGCAAGATAAAGCAGAAGGAACAACACTCTGAAAATGCTATGAATGTCCATGATGGAGACTCAATGAACACATTATAATACGTCCACACAATATGAGAGTATGTAATTATGAAAACGAGCAAAAGAGATCTAAAAGTACTGATAGAGGATAACTTATCTGGTATGTAGTTAAAGGAAACAAGTTATGGAAAGACTATGTAATGTCCTTTCTCATTCAAAAGAAAAAAGAAGCTCATAAATATTTTTTCACCTTTATACCTATACTGTAACTACTTCTAGAAAAAAGAGAGAGAGAGATTATGATTCTTTTGGGTAAGAACTCTGCTGTCACTATGTATCCTTTGACATTGAAACTTCTTACAGTCTACAGTAAGAACATTACACATACCCCTAAAAGAATATTGAATCATATGGCAGACTAATTAATTAATAAAAACTTACATGGCAGACTAATCTTTGAAAGGTTCTGAACCTGGTGATGGCATAATAAGCTACATACTAATTATATGGAAAAAATAAACTGTGTCTTATCTCTGAATTTTAAAAATACATTTACTTTTTATTTTTATTGTTCAATTCTACCCTGCACTCTGTTTGGCTGTAAATTACTTCCTTTCATGCTAAACCAGCCACTATTATATGTTGAAGTCCTAGCCACCCCTACCCCATAGCACAGAAGAACTATATTTAGAAGACTATATTTAGAAGACATTACTAAGATAAAATCATTTTATTAGCCCGAGTCCAGAATATTGTTCAAGAATTGTATCAAGATGAAACAGCAAATGTTCTATCTGTATGAAGACAGAGAATCCTTACCTTTCTCTGCAAAATTTAAGTGAATGTAGTATGGCGGGCCTTTTTTGACGTAAGTTCCATAAGTGTAAGGTGTCATCAGCCAAGGCACTCACAAGGGCTCCCTTGAAAACAACAAGTATTTTATATGGGACAATTTTCAAAATCATTTTCCACATAGCTGCCAAGATATCTTCTTAAATTTGAAAACTTTTTGTCAACAGATTATAATTTTAAGAAATATTTGCCTTGCCCAAATTCTAAACAGCAGGTAGAGATGAGTCTGTTATATAGATACATATTTATATTAATGTCTTAACTTCTTAACTAATTTACCACCTTATAATACAAAAGCATACTAGGATCTGGTGGTAGGGTTAAAATCTCTAAAATTATTAGATATCAGATCCTAAATTATTTGGTCATTAGTACAGATATTGTCTTGACTAAAAACAAAATAGAAAATAAAGTGACCTAATTTTATTTATGTAAGACAATACTAATGGAAGCTCTTTCCTTAGTTATAACAGTAATGACAGTATCAACGTTGAACAACTGAGAACCCTGACTAACTGGTCACAGTAAAGCACCCCGTTAATTTATACTATCACTCGGGCGTAAGGGAATGGCACAAGAGCCACAAAGGTGGCTCAGTCTTGCCCACAAACAGCAAGACAGAATTTTCAGAGCAAGGACCTCTGTATGTGTTCATTAAAGCTCTAAAGAAGACAGATAATAAAAAGGAGGGTCAATCTGCAGACTAAGGGTTTAGTGAACTGTCCAAATTTACTAAGGTACTTGTCCACCAAGCCATCTTACAGGTCCATCTTTCATTCATATTTTGGACTTATTCCACAGATCCTAAGCATTTAGGGCAGAAAGTATGTCCATAGACTATCCTCAAATGTTAAGAAAGTGTTGCCTGCCTTTCCCAAACAGTCTCTGCAATCAGTTTCCTACACTGTAAAACAATATTTTCTTTTCTTTTTTTTTTATTTTTTATTTTTTAATTTTTCTTTTTAGTTACATTTTGTTAACTCTGTGTCCCAGCTGTATCCCGCTCCCTCATTCCCTCCCCAACCCCACACTCCCTCCCTGGTCTCCTCCCTGCCCCTTTCCAAGTCCCCTGATAGGGGAGGACCTCCTCCCCTTTCATTTGACCCTGTTTTATCAGGTATCTTCACGGACTATTTCTAACAGGATCTCAAGGGCAGGCTGTTTGACACCCCCCCCCCCCAGGGGAGGAGCAGTCTGTTAGGCCACAGAGGAGGACTTTGCAGCCAGCCCTGAAAACAGTATTTTCTTTATCTCCTTTCACACTTTGCATTCTTAGAAACAAAGCCAGCAAGCAACACAACACACTTCCAAATGGAAGCTGCTTCCCTGGATATATTTTGAAGCATTTTGTTAAAGTGCTTTCCCTTACCTATAATGAATGCTGTGTTTAGCACTATTTCAATACAGATTTTTTAATGTTAGGTAACTTTCAAAAGCCTCAACATAATAGTTAAAGCACACCATTAGGTGTGCCCACACCATTTTACTTGGAACAGTATTCCGAGAAACATTTCACAGGACTATCTGTGGTGGCATCCTAAAATGAGTTATGACTACATCTGACTCACAAGAAAGTACATTTTTGTTCAAATACTTAAATATGAGTATATGCAAGCAATGTGAAAAAGCAGATGTGTTCTAATTTCAGCTACAAGTAGGAGGAATAAACACAAGTCACTAACCTCATTAATCAGGAACTGGAGTTGAATTACTGCCGCTCCACTGTCATGCTGGCAATAACATTCCACTCCTGGACGACCAAAGCTGCCATTAGTCCCATTAAGGAGTTTTAAGCATGTGAATTTTTAAAAGAAACTTTTAGGTTATCTGACTAATAAATATTCTGATGACCTGATACTCAATCCAGGCCACTTAATGAGGCTGAGATGATCAGGGCTTTCTTTATTTTTCCTTTTTTAATAATCACAAGTCTTAAAACTGATAGTTTTAAAATAAACAGAAAAACTGTTCTTTCCAGAAAAAAAAAATAAAGCATTAAAGTCAGTAATATGCAAAACCAAGATAATATAAGGACAATTAATCTAACCTTATTTGGGCCTTAACCATTCATTCCTCTTAAAATCACAAGAGGCAAAGGGTAGGTGACCTTCAGGCACTAATTTTGGCAAATGTCATTTTGGAACATTTTTTATTGCCATTTTTCAATCCTACAGTGTCATTTTTAAACTAAAGATACAATCAAGAACTAACTATATAGTCATGCTTTTCAATGAGAATCACAATCACTGCTCAGTGCTATCTGGTCTGCATGGATAGGGAGAGACTACCTAGACTGTACACATATAAAAGCACACATTAACTTATGTCTCTATTTGTTGGGCATTACTGTAAACGTCATATAAATTAATTCACTTACGCATCATAATTCAGCAAGAGTATATTATCATCCCTCATTTAACCTAGACAAGGAAAAGGAAGCACAGAAGTTCACTAACAGGCTCCAGGTACACCTGGAAGTGGCAGCATACAGCCTGAATATGCATCATGGCTCCTAGGTCCCCAGTTCCTCCTTCTCTTTGTCCCAAGTGCTTGCGATGAGCCTGCTTTTGTGCATGTTCAGTACGTATTCTTAGGTTACATCCCTAGCCCTATTCTCTTAGATACATTGAATAAAGATCAAAACAAAAACAACAACAAAAACCACACACATTTCCAGAATTTTCTGTGAGGTAGTGTTGCATGCATTATACTTTCCTTAACCTGAGATAAGAACACAGTCATTTTAACACATGGCTAATCTATTTTTGGTAGCTGATAAATAATGCAAAGTAAGAAGACAAGGTTAAAACATTTGGTGAGTTTTAATAAACTCCAGACCTCTGTGTGAACACTTACATTCAGAAGCACAGACAATTTTATATTCTAACAAGATATGCCATGAAGTTCTGCTTAATGCAAAAAACAAATGCAACATCAGTTAAATTCTGTATTGTTTACTTCTCTTTTCTTGCTATGCAATAACCTCAGGACATCACTCATAAAAAAAATGTTTTTTGTTTTTTTTTTCCATTGAACTACCATCTCTGCAGCCACTGATTTTTGGCATTAGTCAAGGGCATGTTCTTTGAGCTTAGGTCTGCTACCTGGAGCTCACAGTTGGTTTTCAGAAGTAAAACATAGCCATAACTACACAACTGTAAGAATTCCAGATCAGCCTTGTCCCTGCAGAACTTCAAAAGATACTAGCAATGAGGCATAAATGTAGCACTAAGAGTCTGATGAGCTACATGTGGTGTAACATGCCTGTAACTCCAGCACTCAGAGGCAGGGGGATATCAAGCTTGAAGTCAACTAAAGACTTGATTTTCAAAAACCAAATGCTGAGGATGTAGCTCATGTTACAAGCTTGTCTAGTTTGTATCAAACCCTGGGCTTCGATCTCCAGTAACATATATGCCAAAAATTCTCATTATTTGTTTTTCAATAATCTACTGTTATATCAACTACACTGGACAACACAGAAAATTGTAAATAACAGCTCTGTGACATCTTCTTAAAGTAGACATTAAAAATTTTATGTAATTCAGATTTTAACAAATTATATAATAGTATAGAAATTGCTTTATGAAAAGATAAACTATAATAGACAAAAACAGATCCCAAAACAAACAAAACTGATTACTAGAACCAGCTAGTCTCAATGGGGCAATAGCCTCCTGGCCTGGAAAATTCTCTTTAACTGGGGTGTCAATCAGTATTTTATCACAGAAAATGCCTTTAAGTCCAGAAGTCAATTTCATCAAAATCAAGAAAACTTTTATTCTTGTGCTATATAGTGTCCCATGCAGAACTGCCCTGCACAGCCCAGTGCACTAACCAAAGGGAAACAAAGACCACATGTGACAAACCAGAATGTGTACCATCTATCTAATTGTAGACACTATGCCTTCAAACAATCTTTGTCCTTAGTCTGAGAGGTCAGCCTTTCAAAGCTGTTCATTTCGCTCTTTATCCTTTGGATAAAGCAGTGCATGCTATGCACATGGAGCCAGCTCAAAGGGTCCTACCAGCAAAATGGCACTATGGACAGAGCATGGAGTGGGGACACATCAGCATCAGTCATTACTGTGCCTTAACAAAAACCTTAAATGAACTTTAAATAATGGTTATGGTGTGAGAGAGAAACAGAAAGACTGACACAAAGAGACAGAGACATCATGAATATAGCATGGACAAAACATAAAATTTAGAGCAAGTAGCTCTGACCTGAGTAGTATGCAAAAATTCTAACCCTATTGCAAATATAGTAAGCCTAGCCTGCCAGAGGAAATGTATGGGTAGATTGGGTGCTAGTTAATGGGTGGGTAGATTGGTTAGCTTATTAATTTCCTTTAGGTGCCAAAAGAGCATCTGAGGCACAATGAGAATTAAAGCACACATGGGGCCGGGTGTAGTGGCCATGCCTGTAATGCCAGCACTCAGGAGGCAGAGGCAGGCGAATCTCTTTTGAGTTCAAGGCCAGCCTGGTCTACGAAGTGAGTCCAGGACAGCCAAGGCTGCACAGAGAAACCCTATCTTGAAACAAACAAAAGCAAAAATAAATAAATATGATACATACGGACTCATCAAACAATAGCCTTTATGTTGCTTAACTCAATGTATTTGTTATATAAGCTAAACTGCTACTTTACAGTGGACAAAACATCACAAAAAAAATTCAATCTAGAATACATTAGATCATAAACAGCAAGTCAGAGACACAAATGTCATAACACCCTTTCATACCAGTGACTGTACACACATGGTCATAGAGCACTTTTTAAGCTGTTTTATTTGGGTTTCATTACATATCTACCTCCCTTCCAGACCCCTGGCCCTAGGTAGGAGAGAAAGAAGGTTTGAGGGAAAGGGGCTGTAGACCTCTTTAGACTTAGTTCCTAAGTTATTAGGTTCTTTGGGGCAACTCCAGTCTCATAGCCAGGATATCCAGCAGTCCAGCTAACCAGCAGAGCAGTGAACACAGCAGCAGCCTTCTTCCTTCTCTGAGGCAAAGTGTTTCCGAAGCGTTCTTTTCTCTCTCTGGGCTCTGGTATTTATACCCTCTCAGAGTCCTCAGAATTAAACTAACTGCAGCTGGCAAAGACTATGCTCCTCTCCAAGCCACACAAGGCTATTATCAGCTGTAGACAAACCAAAATACCACCCTTGGGATTAACACAAAAACCTGTTTACATAACATAACTGATTTTTTAAAGAAACCAAACTTCCATTACACATAGTTCCTCCTAATATTGACATTTGTAACAGCCATCTACTTGGCTTAGTATTTCCATCATTAATGCCATCATTCACAATCAAATGATGACACAAAATATCTGAAACTCAAAAACAAATCAAAGGAGGACTATAGAGTGAATAATTCTAGTAATATTTTTATTAAAAGGAGGAATGTTCATTTATTATGCTGTACTCTGATAATCAATCAACTATGGAACAAAGTTAACTAATGATAAATGTTTTCCTTGGTGTCACTCTACCTTGTCACTCTGAACTGCAGTAGATTCTGTTAAAAATTATTCACAGTTCCTAATTCAGATACCCATCTGCACTCTTCTGCTATCTGCCTAGCAATAACTAAGATATCTTCCTAACTAGTCATCTTTGCTTCTGGAGCAAAGAGTTACTTTACCAGAGGACTAATACCCACCAGATACTTTTGTACAGTTTGCCTGGCTTTCCTCTGCCAGGTAAGTGTCATCATAAAGGCACATTCATATAGAAAGGGGGAAGAAAGCAAAGCTGAAACATACAACAGTTTTTCAAAGATCCTCCATGTATACATCAGGGAAAAAAGCACTTACACGTAAAAAATCTGATGAAAGTAGACATTAATTAGGAATAATAAGTATATAAAATGGATACACAGAAATAAACTTGGAGCTAGCAACATCTTAACTTTTTGGTATTGCTGAGTATGGAATGTAGGGTCAGACATAAGCTACAAGGGTCACTCTATCTATTACAGATCCATGTTCCCAACCCAGAAGGTTGTAAGGACTGATGAACAAAATCAGGATGGCTGGGAAATGGATTCAGGATAAAATACTTGTCGAATCAACACAAGGACCAGAGTTTGGCCCTCTAAAACCCATGCAGATTGTGTGCTGACTGTCTAGGATCCTGGCACTCAGAATGCAGAGACAGGATCCCTGTGGTGAGGTGGCTAGCTAGACTAACTCAGTCAGTGAGCTCCGGGTTCTCGAAAGGCCTTGCCTTTGTACATAAAGGGATGGGGTGAAATAGCCAACACCAACAGTAAGTGTCTAATGACACACATTCAGCATACATACATTCACACATACAAAAATCATATGTAGCAAAGGACGTTATTTATTGCACTACATATCCACTTCAAAATAAGCCTGAAGCTCACTGCCTAAATGATGCCAATGTTGCTGTGGTCGGGTGGTGGTTAGGAAGGGAGGGACAAAAGAGGAATTTAAAGATGACTAAGTTTATGGTCCTCCCAACTGAGTTATATGAAACATTTGCCACAGGCAGAGCACTGTGCTCTGATCATCTCACAAGAGCACCTGAGATCAACTATTCTTACAGATTACAAAGATTCAAGTACAATTTTAAGCAACTTGCCCAGAGACACACAGCAAGTTGGCAAAGAAGGTAAAATTTGAGCCGAAACATTTAATCTCAAGAGCTTACAGTTTAAATCATCAAGCATTATTATGCAAAATAATAAATTATGGGCAATTTGCATTTGTAAATGTCAATTTGTATTTTATTGT